CACTCATGAGCTGTCGGACCGGACGGAAAACGAATGTTGAATACCGATATATGTTCAGGCTTTGCAATTTAATCGAGACAGTTGAAAAAAAAAATATTTTTTTCAAATGAAAGACCACAGTGAGCCAAAAAATGTTAGAACCCTGTGATTTCCAAGAATATAAAGTACACGGGACGCATAATCTTTACAAGAATATACCCACAACCAACGAACGAGCATGAAGCAAACTCTGAGGTATATATAAGACACAGATAAATAAGCCACCAGCGAGATTCGAACTCGCGACCCCCGGTTTACGAGACCATTGCTCTGAGCTATGGTGGCGCGAGGAGATCTCGAATCTCACTCATGAGCTTTCGGACCGGACGGAAAACGAATGTTGAATAACGAAATAAGTTCAGGTTTTGCAATTTTTTCGAGACAATTGAAAAAAAAAATTTTTTTTCAAATGAAAGACCCCAGTGAGCCAAAGAATGTTAGAACCCTGTGATTTCCAAGAATATAAAGTACACGAGATGCATAATCTTCACAAGATTATAACCGCAATCAACGAACGCGCGAGAAGCAAAGCTTCTGTTTTGTATTAGACACAGATAAATAAGCCACCAGCGAGATTCGAACTCGCGACCCCTGGTTTATGAGACTAGTGCTCTAATGCTCTAACCTCTGAGCTATGGCGGCGCGAGGAGACCTCGAAACTCACTCATGAGCTTTCGGACCGGACGGAAAACGAATGTTGAATACCGAAATAAGTTCAGGTTTTGAAATTTTTTCGAGACAATTGAAAAAAAAAATTTTTTTTTTGAAATGAAAGACCCCAGTGAGCCAAAAAATGTTAGAACCCTGTGATTTCCAAGAATATAAAGTACACGGGATGCATAATCTTCAGAAGATTATACCCGCAACCAACGAACGCGCGAGAAGCAAAGTTTGTGTTATGTATTAGACACAGATAAATAAGCCACCAGCGAGATTCGAACTCGCGACCCCTGGTTTACGAGACCAGTGCTCTAACCTCTGATTTATGGTGGCGCGAGGAGACCTCGAAACTCACTCATGAGCTTTCGGACCGGACGGAAAACGAATGTTGAATACCGAAATAAGTTTAGGTTTTGAAATTTCTTCGAGACTGTTAAAGAAAAAATATTTTTTTCCAATGAAAGAGTTGAGTAAGCCAAAAAATAATAGAACCTTGTGATTTCCAAGAATATAAAGTACACGGGATACATAATCTTTACAAGATTAAACCCGCAACCAACGAACGCGCGAGAAGCAGAGTTTGTGTTATGTATTAGTCACAGATAAATAAGCCACCAGCGAGATTCGAACTCGCGACCCCTGGTTTTCGAGACCAGTGCTCTAACCTCTGAGCTATGGCGGCGCGAGGAGACTTCGAAACTCACTCATGAGCTTTCGGACCGGACGGAAAACGAATGTTGAATACCGAAATAAGTTCAGGTTTTGAAATTTTTTCGAGACAATTGAAATAAAAAAATTTTTTTTTTAAATGAAAGACCCCAGTGAGCCAAAAAATGTTAGAACCCTGTGATTTCCAAGAATATAAAGTACACGGGATGCATAATCTTCACAAGATTAAATCCTGAAAAAACGAACGCGCGAGAAGCAAAGTTTGTGTGATGCATTAGACACAGATAAATAAGCCACCAGCGAGATTCGAACTCGCGACCCCTGGTTTACGAGACCAGTGCTCTAACCTCTGATTTATGGTGGCGCGAGGAGACCTCGAAACTCACTCATGAGCTTTCGGACCGGACGGAAAACGAATGTTGAATCCCGAAATAAGTTTAGGTTTTGAAATTTCTTCGAGACTGTTAAAGAAA